TTAATCTATTAGATAGTAGTATTTCCAGGTTAACTGTTCCAGTCTGCTCTATTTTACTGAGTTGTACTTGCCAACAGGGCTACTGAAAAGTGAGGGCCTGTTTCTGTAGTGATGACCTGACAAGATTGTGGCTTGCTGAAACAGTATCATGCCTACAGAGCTTTTAGTGCTGTTTCTAAACAGTCTTTGTCTAATGTATTTGTTAGTGCAAAATAGCCAGGAGCCTGTTCCCCTTTTTATAGGGATTGCATGAATAGAGAACAAAAGGAAAGGCCTTTTCTGTTTGCATGCTTTAGGAAAAGCTTCCATGCTACAGGATTTGGAAGCAAAAGTGCTATTTCTTCTATTAAATGTGACCACGAGTTCTTGTTTTTGTGTTAAACTGAGCGTAAGCAGTTGTGTTAATGCCTGCTCTGTATTAAGACTGCCATGAGCACTTCTGCAGGAAGCCTTTCTAGTGGAAGTAATACTTACTTTGACATTATCAATTACATTAGTTTTTGCAGCCTTTCACTGCCTGTGTGTGGTAGAAGCCCTACTGATACCAGGGCAATTTGGCACAAGATAATGGAGGTTAGAAATTGTGAAAAACCCTTACACGGTTAGGAGTTGATCTTGCTGAATTAGAGAGCAATAAGACTGCCATAATTCAGTGGACAACAGTTCATAGTGTGTTTTCATGTACGTTTGTCCTGACAATGGTCTATACAAAGGTAACAACTAAAATGAAGCACTTGAAGATAAGCTTGTTGCTGATTTAGCTTCTGAGGAAGTGCAGGTAGCTCAGCAAAGCTGGGTTTGTCATCCTAAACATCTTGCTATTGAAATGAAGCTTGTGCATTAGGGTGGATAACACTATTTGCCAGCAGAAGCAATGGTAATCAATGAATATTGCACTTACCACCCTGCCTTTTTATTAGGTTGGTGTAGAGCACAACACTGATGCACATTACTATAAAATATTGATGTAAGGTATGTTTGTGCTAATTTAGATTTCCCCTTGTGTAAAATACTCCTAAGCCTCAGTGGCTGTCTAGCTGACAGCTGTCTGGTTTTCTTTTCTCTCTCTTTTATTTTTTTTCCCCCCCCCTTGGGTATGTATGAGATCTTGAATTTAACTTGAAGTAAACTCTTCTTCCGAAGAGCTTCAATGTCTTAGTGCAGCAGACCCAAACCACTCTGGCCCATGAAAAACAAGTTCTGGTGGAACTTGACCTGCAGGGGAGTTAGTGGGCTGGCTTGCTATGTCCCGAGTCTTTTAAACCAGCCCAAAACAATCTTTCTCTCCCCAAATTAAATGATTTGAGAGAAGATGGCTCAGGTTCTTAGCTGTGATTAGTCTCTCCTCTTACAAAAGAGGGAACGACAATCTTCCAAAAACACAGTGGTGCCTGTAGTTCCTTCTGGTGGGAGCCCATCCTACTGATGAAGGAAATCCTATAGATGAAGGAAATGTTGTTCTGAGAAACGTGGGGGAAGGAAACAGTGAGGCCCTTCAGAGGAAAACTGTCCCACTGGTACAAGTTTTCACAAGTTACTGGGCACTCCAGTTTGAAGCAGCTAGAAGTGTTTTCTGCCAAAGTTCAAATGGATACTCCCAGTCTGTTTCATTCTGGGAAGAATTTGGGACAAAAAACTTATTCTTCTATGGTATTGCAACAGCATTATTGGGAAGTCTTTCAGGATTGGATGTTTCAGTGGCTAGGCAGAGAAATGTCCTTTAAGCAAAGTTATGACCTGTTTTCTCTTTTGACAATACATGAACTTGTATGTGTAAGGTGTCATTGCTGTTATGGAGAAACTGTTCAAGAGTGCAGGAAAGGATGGAAACAAAACAGGCACTTGTGCTATGGGCAGTGGTTGCTCCAGAGCTGGGTGACAGATACTCTGATGTGATGGTTCTTGGTTCTTTGCCTTGCTCTGGCAAGTTCTGAGCAATAATATGTTGTAGGATTAAAGTCTTGCACTTTTTACTGTGCAATAGCAAGTTTTGCTCCTTTTACACACTTGTTCTGACCTGAGCTCAGTCTGTCTTAAACTGATTAGAGTATTTAATTGCCAGTACCCTTTTCACCCTTACTGGTTGGAGTTGTCCTCTGCAGGAACCATAGTCTCGAAGATTCATCTGACAGTGAGGCTTTTCAATTAAACTCGGGGCTGTGTTGGTTAAGGCAGAAATTGCTGCCTGCTATAAAGAACCAACACTGGTTGTTTAGGACATAGTTTCCAGTCAACAAATGATCATTGTGAAGGTATATAAGTAATTGCTTCTTATAAGCCTTCAAGATGTGTTCTATGTGGGAATTTGTAAACAGTTGATTTTTGTATCTTTAGCAAGTTTTCTGATCAAAGTACACTATTCTTAGCAACTGCTAAAAATCTCGTGACCCTTGCATTTGTCACAACCTAGCCAGTTTTCTGCATGGCAGCATTGTTTGAGACATTCCTGTGAATGAGCTTCCTCTGTGCCCAGTGTAATTACATGTTGGTTTTCTGTGTTAATGTAGTTAAGTATCACTTGAAACATGTAATGCTTATTGCTGGACCTCCTGCAGCAATGGTGACTGTCTGGACACAATGGTGACACAGTAGCTTCTGTGCATACTGCTTCTGTACTTTAGTTATTGCAGAACGTCGGAAGCTGATGTCAATCTTGCCATTAAAGGAAGTATCATATGCCTGCAGTAATTCACATGCCATTCCACTGAAGGCTCTATTTGAGCCCTCAATTCAAGCAGATTCTCTTTTCTTTTTTTTAATATATATTTTTTTTTTAACTTCTCTGTTACAAGGCATCTGATCTCTTGTATGAGATAATGGAAACAAAGCCTGATTGGCAAGAGAGGAGTTCAAGTCCTTAACCTGCACTTTAATTACCCAGCCCCTCTGCTGTGGTTCAGATGCCTGTGCTTGGCATGCTTAGTAATTGTTCCTGTGAACTGATGTATGTTAAAAGCACTAACATTAGACAACACTCATTCTTCAGCTCTCAGATTTGAGAGTATTTCAAGTATGTGAACTGTGGAATGGATAGCTGTGGGTGAATGCTGCCTAGGAAAGGACAGTTTGTACTTAACACCCCTGGAAATGAGACCATGTGTGTCTCAAGGAAATCTTGTTTTCTTTATCATGATTAGCCTGAAGGTGGTGTTCATCTTGGAGTTGTCAATCTAAATTCTCAAGGAAGGGGTAGAAGTGCTTTAGATAGTTCTACATTCTCCCAGTCAGCTATATTATACAGCTGCACATTGCCAGCACCATACACTTCTCAAGGAAGTAATCTCTCTGTCTTTATTACTGGTAGCCTTTGTCTCTTCAAGGATGATTCAATGGAGTAAAACTTGACTTTATGAAAAGTTCTGGGGAAATGGCAACTGTGGGACGAGTCATGAGAAAACTTCACTTTAATAAGTGGAGGAACTATACTGGAAAATAACTACTAAGTTTCTTGGTGCACTGTTTGCTACTTTTCATTTGAGTGTTACCAAAAGATGTAATTAATCATTGGTACTTCAGTTGCATGCTAGTGAGTTAAGGTATGTGAATGACACTAACTTTATCAAATCATACAGTGATTGCTTTCAGAAAAATCTTTGCACTACTCTAGAATTAGTGGGGCTAGACTCTTTCAGACATATTCATGTGTATCCAACCCATTTATTGAACAGAATTTGACAGTGTTTCTCCTGACTTGCACAGTGGTGTAACTGGAAATGTAACTTTGAATTAAGTTGCAGATATAAAGGAAAAATCTCTTCTAATGTTTGCACACCTGTTTAAACATCAAACTTGTGTAGTTAAACAAGGTTTGCATAGTTGACAGCTGTTGCGTTGGGGAAAACCAATTTGTTGTTTGATTTCCTGCATGTCCTCTCTTCCTTCCCCTGCCATAGCCTGTTTGTGAGCTGCAGACCTGGAGTTCTTCAAGTTGGGTACCAGGCACTTTGAAGATAAGATGGCTGTGACTGGGACTGATCAGAGCACTAACCTTTGCAGATACTTATATTTAGTGACTGAAATTCTGCTCCAAACGAGCTACCTGACTTTTCTACCTGTTCATCTATAGATTTTAACTTTGTTCTGAGCTTTGATTATCCTTAAGTCCTCTATAATGCATCATTCTGTTGGGCGGGAGCACACAACATTTATTTAAGTATTGTATTTGTCCTTGAGAGAGCAGTTCTTCAGGGCCAAATTAATCAAATACTCCTGCCCAACTTAGAGTATTAGTTTGCTTTTCATAAGAAGCTTTATTTTTTGAATAACAACATGTGCCAGCTTTCTGCTTTTTACACATATGCATGATTAGTTCCTCGCCTAAATGGTGACAGCTAAATGTGCCCCTCTGTAATTAGAACGGTACCTATTTCCTGTAGGCATCTGTCATGTTACTTAAGCAACAAAATACATTGTCTTAGTATGTATAAAGCTCATTCAAAGGATCCTTACTGTGTTGGCATTAACACAATCACTAGAGTAAGAATATTGTTTGGATCAGTTAGCTGTGAAGTCCGTAAATGGTAGAATGTTGTTAATTAAATGTTTCATCTCGATTGCAGTCAGACAAATTCTTGCTTTAATAGTCACAGGAATGTGGTATCCAGGGGAATACTATTTTGATAGAAAAATCTGCCAGTGCTTGATTTCGAATGAGTATTGCTTGGGGAATTCACTTGTAGGTCTAAACTGTTACCTTGATTAAACTATGTTGTGTAAGTCATAACGTACTTCTGAGATGTGTGTTTAATTATGGTCTGTACTAAAGGAAGGTTGTTGCACATGAGACCAAGTGAATGTGGCTTAAAACAAAACTTGTAGTTGAAAGAAATCAGTAATGTTTCAAGGAAGTAACTTCTCTTCATTTATATGGTAAATGTACTGTGTCACATGCTTTAAACCTTGAAGCCAACACTGGCTTTTAGAATCCTACTTGAAACTTTTTGGTCATAATTGCTGTATGATATTGCAATGAAGTGCTAAAAAAATCTTCTAACCTGCAGCACAGCTAAGTACAGCGTGGTGACATTTCTACCTCGATTCCTGTATGAGCAGATCAGAAAAGCTGCAAATGCATTCTTCCTCTTCATTGCCTTACTGCAGGTATTGTTTCACTGGTTTGGCTTGATTATAACCTAATGTAGTAGAAGTTGTTTTGGTTGTTACACTTAACTGTGAAGAAATATTTGTACATACCTCATTAATACTACTATTAAAATACATCTTTTATAATAGAAAAGAGTCTCTAAGTTGCCTTCTAATTTCAAACTGTAAAATCAAGTTACTTTTATTCTTAAGTAAAAACAAGAAGTAGTATGGTAGAACATGGAAGCTACTGAGAAAAGCATATGTGGGTTCTTGTGAAACTGCTGGCTGTTTAGATAGTCCAGATTTCCAAGTAAATTAGGTCACTTGGATTCTTGTGAAGAGAGAAACAGAATACATGTCATACATGTATGGCATGTACAACAACTTTATCTTCTAACTTTGTAGTAGTTTCTTTGAACCTACTGGGAGATCAGGCTAATTTGCCCATGGAAATTGGGTGTCATTCAGGCACAAAACAAAGCTCTATTCTCTCTTCTGAGAGCTTTGCATAAAGTTCTAAATTTGCTAGAAACTAATTTTAAACACAAATACAAAATGGATGTCTCTTCTCCCTCTGTTCACAGCAAATTCCAGATGTGTCTCCAACAGGAAGATATACCACCTTGGTGCCATTGCTATTTATTTTGACAATTGCTGGCATCAAAGAAATTATAGAAGACTATGTGAGTATTGTTATGGGGAAGGCTGTGCTAAAGACCAAGTGTTTCAAAAAGGCTACAAAATGCTACAAAGTTTTGTGTCCCTGACTTTCTGCATTCTGAACTTGACTAGAATTTCTGTGGCACGCTGAGATAAATAAAGCATTTTTATTAGAGCTGGTGAACAAGGGAACAGTGGAAGTCAGGACACTTGTTTCTACCCCCTTGGACTTACTCATTTATGCTTTTATTACAAAGGCCTGGCTAGAAAGACACTGCAGAGTCCTGACAGACACATGGCCTATTTAGTGGCCTTGAAAAGGGGGCAGTAAGCAACATTAGCACAGAGCAAGCTGTTTTAGGGGAAAATCTGCACTAACTTGAATACTCTTTAGTATAAGAGGTCTTTTTGCTTTGTGAAGTTTTGAATGAAATAAGAAATCCATCTAAACAAACAGCACATAGAATGTATAGTGCAGATGTCATGTATGTATACTGTTCCTTGTTGTTCCTTTTGTTTTCCTTCCAAAAACAAGTTTTACAGTCTTAGTTTTTTACTGTTGATCCAGGTTTGAGCCTGACTTCCAACTTGGTAACTCTTGCTTTATATTATGCTCTTTTACAAACCATTTGGATTTAAATGGTGTGTGCAGCTTTAAAAAGTATATGTAACATAAAGACAAAAATGATCCAATGTATCATCTTGCAGTTTGTCACGTTTCTAGCTCTAATGGTTTTGGAATTTGTAATGAGGTGTAATGAAATGTTTTGTTTCCTTGCAGAAAAGGCATAAGGCAGACAGTGCAGTGAATAAAAAGAAAACAATAGGTAAGACTAAACAATCTGTAACTGAAATATTTAAAGTGCAAATAATGAATACCAGAATACTTCTGAAAATTATGTTGCTACTTATTTAAGGAAACAGTGGTGGTGGGAATGCATGTCTCTTTGGAATGTTAGATTTTACTTTACCGAATGTTTTGGACTGCTGATAGCATGACACTTGAGGAGGAGGCATGGAGGCCATTATTAGAATTTAAATTTCATTTAATTTTAAGGTTGTACAGAGTTACACAGCTCTTGGTTCCTCCAAGAAAACCAAACCCACTTCCACTTTCCCAAAAGAAAAACTGCAACCAAAAAGCCCCAACAAAGTCTTAAAACACTAAAAGCTGATATCAGGAATTTTAAGTAATTTTTGTACAAGCTGCTGTCCTTAAAATATAGAAAGACCTCTGGAGACTTTGTGGCTTTGCTTTCCTGAAGTGTTACTAAAAGACCATTTAATACTGGTATCATCTGAACGTATTCCTAGTGTATTGGTGCTACTTGGCACTGAATACCTGAAGACATTTTCATTCTTTTCATCTCCCTTAACTGAAAACCTGTATGGAGTTTATTGTTGGCTACCCTGTGGTCAGCCTGGGCTTCATCCATGGGATATCTGTGTTCTGGTGTTGAACAGCTTCTCTGCTGCTCCTGCACAAAGATCTGCAGGTGAAATAGAAAACAAAACACACGGACTTGACTTCTGGGCAGAGCTGCTTCCTCCCAAACACATTTAGCTTCAGTGTCAAAAAGCTAGGGAAACGCTTCAAGGAACCTGGGGAACTGAACCACCTGCTAGCTCCACGCTTCACTTAACAGGCATAATGTTTGCAGGACTGTTTTCAGTGAGTTGTTCTTCATTCGTGCTTGAGAAGTTAAATTCATCATTAAGGCTGTATATTAATGAACATCAGAAAGTGTTGCTTTACCAGTTCTTCAAGGTAATTTCTCTTCAAGAGCCTGGGAAGATGTTTCAAGCACAGGAACACTATGTTTACTAGCCATGGGAAATCAGCAATTAACTGGCTGCAGCACAACAGGCCTTGTTACAGGTAGTATGAAAGACTGCTCTTTCAAAAGTCACATAGGCAGTTCTAATCCATTTATAGTCAGAACATATCCTAACAAACACTTCAAGGGAAGTTTATCACAGTAATTATGGAGAGACAACCTTAAAGAACACCAGTATTCCTATGGAGTGAAGTGGATTTTAGCACTTAAAACCTGAACTAAAATAACTTTTCTTTACGTTAAATACTCTAAATAAAATTTTCAAAATGATACTTAAAACTGAATCTTCACATTTCTCAAGAGGAAGACTAGAAAGAGGCTCATTCTTGAGACTTGTGTTATGAAAAGTTAATCAATGTCCAGGTTGGGATTTAGATTAATTAAACTTAAATGTATATGTCTTCATGTTCCTCTTACAGCTGAGTGAGGTCTAGTCAGTGCAGTCAGTATAGAGAGCAGTTCTACTCACTCAGAAGTAGACTGCTATTGGCTTCCTGGCTGAACAGCAGTGCCTACCACCAGATGCTTGCTTCAGTAGCATTGCATGTAGGCTTTGCATTTATCTCCATGTTTGGGGTTTTTTTGAGCAGTAGTGTTTCTTCAAAGAACATTTCCTATATTAAATTTACCATTGAAAGCATTGGTTATGCTTAATGGAGTGGCTTTGGTACATCGGAATTAAATTCCCTTTGGAGGAAATGAAACTGCAAATCCTGCTCCAGGTGAGCACTGTACATCTTTGTTAGGAGCTGCAGCATGTTAGGCTCTGAGCCAGTATTCCTTGTCTTGGATGGCTTCATGTGGTGTATATGGAGATGACATTGGATCTAGGGACCAGACTAAATATAATCCCAAGTGAAGCCCCTGAGCAGGATATTCCATAGGTGTAGAGAGCTCAGAGCTCAGTTATAAGTGCTCTGATGTATTGATTCTCTCATGGTTAAATTATAGAATAAGCCATTGGCATTTAATATTAGAGAGCATCCCGTACAGCGGTAGACAAGCACAGGACTAGCAAACTGTTGCACAAGACTGGGAAATGCTTGCCTTCCAGGAGTCACGCTTCAAGTAGGCCTGAACACCTAGGTGTGAGTGGCAACATTAAGTCTTGGATCTAGAACATCAATACACTTTTAGTCTTGGAAAGTCTTAGACAGAAGGTTTATAGTGAAACTGTTTTGGAGTAGCAGCAGTCTTGTTAGATACCTGGTCTTTGTTACTTTAACCAAATTCCTTTTGACAATAATTTGTCAATTTTACTGTCATAAGTATTCTAGAGAAGACTTTTTTTTTTTTCCCCTGTCCTTTAGAGTACTATAAAACTGGGTTAAGTACAGTAGTGGCTGCAGAATTGCAACCTGAATATTTCTGAACTATTTTAATGGAAGCTTTCTGGTTTAGATTGTGGGGTTAGGAATTAAACAAAATATAAGAGCTCAGTTATTTGCTTGACTAATTTTAACAGATAAATTGATATCCATAATCATGAAAGCTAAATTGTTCTGAAATAAGCAGAGCTCAATTCAAGCGCAGCTTAGGAGAGGGAAGAAAGGGGTGCAACACAACTGTTCTTCCCCTAAACTGCATATACTTGTTTGGGTGGAAGCTCAGCAGTTTAGGTGCATCACTAGCAGTGCTTCTGTTGCTGCCCACCCATTTTTGTTAAATAGTTTACATTGCTGTGACCCATCCACTGTAATAAATATCAGGATTCAGTGCTCCAAAATATGTGGCCTGAGGATAGGAATCAAGATAGATTTCTTGTTCTTGATCTGGCCTGACATTCCTGTTTGTGGAGTGGCCTAACCTGAGTAGGATGGCTGAGGCTGCGTTCAGCTGAAATGTATCTTCTGGGAATTCTGTATGGTTTTCAAATGAGCTGTGTATGAATTGCATAGAACTGAGGAGAAAATTGTTTGTATTCAAAATCGGAGGCTGGCTTTTTCAGCTTTCATCTGTTGCACATGATGTGTTTTGAACATCTTTGAAAACTGGCCACAGCTGCTTTCAGTGAAGGTGTGAGTTTGTTTAGGTGTACTTGGTGTGCTCAGACCAGGACTGGATTTGGTTACTCAGCAATGACTTGGCATAGATTTTTGACCTGAATGTTTAGGCTGGAGTAGTATTAAGTATGTGTAGAAGCTTCTAGAGGAACTACTTGGGTGGAAAAGCGTAATCCAGAGTAGATGACCAATGAGTGTGTTAAGACAGCAGTTTTCTTCTTTTTGGGTTTTCTTTAATTTTGGTTTTTTTTTGTTGTTTGTTTGTTTTATTTCAATCTGAACTCAGTATTTAGGATTCTCTTTCTGCCTAAGCTAAGCTTTGCTTTTCCAAGGGGCTTAGAGCCTGCTTGACTATGAAGCCTCAGCCTTATAAAGGCAATTGATATGCTAGTGAAATCGGATGTGTCAGAGTCAAAACATAATGAATAAAATGCAAGGGAAAAAGGAAGAAGTGAAAATTCTGTGGTTAAATCAGACATAAAGATGCTTTCTGATATTGATTGATGGTGGGCAGTGATGCCATTTGTTTTAAGGAAGGTCATTTCCTAAGCAAAGAGCAACACTGCCTATCTGCAGGTTAGTATGAAGTGTTGTCAGTAAGGAATTGGGCCACCAACTGTTGTCTAGCAGGTGATAAAAAGGATATAAACATTAAGGTCAGATTCTTGTTGTTTTGAAATATGCCCAAATCTTGCCTGTTTAATCTAACTTTAAACTTTCTTTACAGTTTTAAGAAATGGGATGTGGCAGAACATTATTTGGAAAGAGGTAAACAAAATTGGGGATGGGAGGGAGTGGAAGAAGGTGTTCTAGAATTACTCTTGCTAAAATAAATTCAGAGGCCTAGAATTAATATGCTGTAGGTGAGAATTCCCTGTGACTTTGGGTGGGAGGGATCTTTTCTGTTGCAATAGTGAAAATTGCCCTAAGCAAGGCACCTGAGTACCCATCTTTAGATTTTAGTACTATATTTTCATCCAATGCTAATGAACTGTTCGAAGTGGTTTTGCTTGAGCAGTTAATATGCTCCAGGGTGTAAACAGTATTTTTGTTTAAGTCCATATCTGGAAGAGTAACTTTCACTGCAATGCTGTACCTCCCCTGAAAGTCTAAGACTTATTTTGCTACCTCTGCTAAAAAGTTCTGTGGTTTGGGGCTAATTAGTAAGCTGTGTACTCAAATAAGGAGCACAAGCCCTGCTTCTGCCTCAGGCACTCAGGACCTACGTTCTGTGAAGCCCTGTGCCAGGACTTGCTGAGCCTTATTTCTAGAACTTCCTGAAATCCCTCAGGATGTATTGATCTAATCATGGCTTTTAATGCCTTTTTAAGGATAAAATTAGCCTGTTACCTAATAAATGAGGTTAAAGTACACTTTTAAAACCTCTGGGAAATGAGATCTGCCTCGAGACCTAAAA